CGCCAGGGGCATCTGGTCGCTCTTGTGCAGCGGGATGAATCGGACGGCGGCGAGGACGAAGTTGAACCAGGGCGGAAAGTCGCCGTTGGCAAGCCCTGTGGCGAACCAAGCGTGGCAGCTCACAGCCTCGTTGGCCGCTTCGCTTGCAAACGGGACCGACGGGGCTAGCGCGGTGAGCATTTCGTATCGCCATGCGGATGCGCCGTGCGCCTTCTCGCGGGGCGGTGCGCTGTACACGCGCCTGACCGTCTCAGGAAGAACGTTAAGGCGCTCGCTCGGGTCTGGGATCGGGAGGGAGTCTGGCATACGGTTCTCTGGTTTGCGGATCGGGTGCTTGAGGCGCATCTGCTCCAAGATCTCGGGGTTGAAGATGTGTGCGACTCCGTGGCTCTCGAGAAGGCGAGCGGCGTCCGAGACGAGGCCGCGCTCGAGCTTGCCGAGTGCCTTTTCACCTCGTTGTCGAGCTCGGTCCGCTCGCGCGGCTCACTGCCCCAGCTGAGGGCGATAGCCTTTGCCCACCCGTCAATGAGCGAGGCGTGGTCCCCCGAACGCCAGGCAGCAAAGCGGTTCGCAATGGCTCGCACTGTGCGGTGGCCGCCGTGCGCCGACTTGCGGAAGAAGAGGGAGGGTGCAACGATCATCAGCTTGTAGCACCGGTCGCGCTCGAGGTCGGTGGTGGCGTGCTGGAGGTGAGTGAGCACCTCGGTGTTGAACTCGGCCCAGTTCTCGCGGTGCTCGGGGGGGATCTTGCCCGCGTCAATGGAGAGCGCGTTGCCGTTGAACCCTGCCAGATCCATCATATCGAGATGGTCTACTGCCGAGCCACACTCGTCTTCCGGGCGCGCACAGGGGATTGCGGGCAATAAGAAGGACGAATTTTGAGCTTGAGGCTGAGCTTCTTAGCAAATTACATATCTTCTACCAGCTCCCCACTTCGGCGTAGCGCGTAGGAGCCTGCGTCGGAGCGCTAAGATCAGCCTGACTTGAACTTGAAACGTACCGCCAGCCCGAACCCCCCGACATTAATATATATATATATATATATAGCGGCTCAGCATGGTTCAACAGAGGTGTTGTTCACTCACTGACTTGGTCGACGTCAGACGTTAGTCCTGGCAGCAGGGATGGTGGTGGTAGAGGAGAACCCCGGTTCGATGCTGACCGAGGATGCGCTTCTCCGCGCGCGCGGCTACAGTCGACGTCTATGTGGAGCTCGACCAGCCTGATGGACAGGCCGCCGTTGGTCACATCGTCGAGATGAAGACGGTTCACTACGGCCTGACGCACTACAACGCGGTCGCGCCGCGTGCGCAGGGGCGTCCTCAGGCCCGTTTGCCGAGTGGCCGGTGCGCTGGAACCAAGGTGCACCCCGGGCACCAGCGGCCGCGCGCGCAGTCTGCGTGTGCAGCGAGTGCGCGCGGGCAAGGATGAACCTGGCGTGGCCGCACGCCACGATCACTCCGAGCTCCTTGCGCATGAGCCTGAGAAGCGTGTTGCGCGCCTGCATCGTCGTCGGCGCGCTGAGCTTGCCCATCCTAGCAAATTAGATACAAAATTCTTAAATTTGCTTAAATTATATACAAAAATGCAAAAAAACGAGGCTCAGCTTCTTAACACTAAGGCTTCTTACTGCCCGCGACACCCTGTATGTCATTTCGGGACTGACATGTCGGGTCCCAGCTGAGTCATACTCATAAAAAGGCGGGCGTCGAGTAACGGATAGGGTGAATCCTGGCAGGCTATGGCTCAGGTCACCCCCGGGCAGTGGACGACCATCCTGAGCGCATCGCCGAAGACAACAAAGAAATGTGCCCAGTCAAATTTAAAATACATGCATCTGCAGTAACTAGATTTGTATACAACTTTTTTAAAAAATAAACGCCAAATAACTAACCTACTTCTTAAAATTACATACGAAAAATTCAGAATGCTACGTACTGAATCCAAAATTTCTCACATTTGAAAATATTTCTTCGTTGTGCTAAATACTGTATCCACCAATTACCCCTTTTAAAAAAATCACGTTGCTAGTTCCTGATTTACTACTCGACGCACCCAAACTCACACATTTCTGATAAATGTATAGAACAGAGCTCTCCGAGACGAATCCAGCAAGCCTAGAGCGAGCTCTGTCTTCAATAATGAATAGGCTCACAGTGTAAGTGTTCAGCCCGTCAGGATGGTCGTCCCCTACTTGGCCTTGCGGTCTGCCCGGACCGGGGCGGGGGTGACCGAAGCCATAGCCGGCAGCAATACCTACCAAACAAAACCGGCTACTTTTTGGCTCTGTATTCGTGAACCGCTCTCTTAGCGGTCATGTCCATCGCATGTGCCTGGGGGGGTTTGTCTGAAGCCAGAGCCTCGTCAAAGGCTCACAGGCCTCGAGACGCGCTGCCGCTGGGCGAGCCTGCTTCCACAGGAGGAGGACGAGGTGGTCCCGCTTGCGCTGCTCTTAAAAAAAATATCTTTTAACGCCCTGCTCTTTTAACGTCCTTCATAGGACCGTGCGTAGCCTCCAGAGCGGGCACGGCACAAGGCTACGACGCCTGAGTGCTCAAGGCGCCAGATCGTGCCTACAACGAGGGG